TTCTATATGTGATACAGAAATTAAGAAAGATTATTGTGAAAAATTATAAAACTGGGAAATAACATTGATTTATATATATTTAAAACTATATTACATTTTTTTTTTAAATCTGTTATTCTCTATTTAATTACCCATGACTTGATTCCACAAAATGACATAAACTAATTTCGTTAATGTCAGCACAAAATAAGTTTGCTTGAAGTTCAAGCCTTTGGGAAACTTTTTGCTTCGTTTCAGTTTTTTACCATACTTTGTGTTCGCTCTCGCTCCCTCGCGTGTGTATAGATTTTTATCAAGTTTGTTGTTCTGACAAATTAAACTCTTCTTGTTGAACCAAAAAAATTCTTCATTTTAATTTTTTGTTGTCCAGTTCGTTTTTGTTGCTTTTGCCTGGTGGAAGGTGTTTGAGGTTTTTTTTTTTGGTTGTTGTTGGGGCTTCGGCTTCTGGGTCATCGCTCTTAAAATATTTAAATATTTTTTCTTACATTTTTTTTTGGCGCGACGTTGTTGTTTGTGTTTCACCTGAAAGTTGTCTTTGAGGTTGGTTCTCGTTGCTGTTTTTATATTATTTTTTATTTTGTTGCTCGTACCTCATCACATAGAAGACAGAAAGTACAGCAAAAAAAAAAAGGAAAAAGCAACAGCAATCCACACACATGGCATACAAGTCGCTGTGGTCGTTGATCCGGCGATGAGACAGCGAATCGGTGTTTTTAACTGATTTTGACAGCGCCATGGGGCGGCAGTTCCCACTTTTTTTTTAGGGGGAGGAAGTGTCGTGGTCTTCTATTTTTAAGCCGCGCTAAAGTGCGAAAGATAAACCACGGATTGTAGTTGTAAAGTAGGGGGAAAAGTAAGTGGAAAGATTGGGGCTTTGAGATGACGAATAAATCACAGTAGGCAAAGCTAAGTAGTTAAGCTGTTTGTATGCAAAAATATTTACCGAGTGGATTAAGTTCTTTAGGTCTAGACCAAATTAATTTACACTTTGGGTAAATACATATGTGGAAACATAATAAATATGATACACTCTTTTTGATAATTATTTTGATTTAAGTATTTTAGTATTACAATATTGTGGGGAATAATATTTACCGAGTGAATTAATTCTTTAGGTGTGGACCAAATTGGTTCAGTACACTTTGGCTAAATAAATATGTGTAAAAAAAATAAACACTCAACGACTTGATAAATATTTTTTTGTAACCATAATTTACCTGACTTAAGTTGAAAATAAATAATTGTGTAATATCACAATTAATATCTATTAAACCATGTATATTCAAATGATCATGTTATTAACGAGTTGAAAAAATGGATAGCTAACAATATTAACATAATATGAAAATATGATATAAAAAACATATTAAAATTCTAATTTTAATAAACATAATTTTTTAAAGAAAATTTTTAAGATATTATTGTTTACTTGCACAGATTTTTATTTAGAAAATATAATTAATATAAAATATATAAGCAAATTTCCAAAGACTTTTTTCCCTGCCAACACAATTCAGCTTTATACCCCTTACAAAAATAGTGGCACTTGCGCTTTCAATTGATGCGGAAGCATTTTCCGATTCCTGGAAAAGCGATAAAGCGTCAGAATGTTGCAATTTCTTCGTTCTCGCGGCAGTCGCATACAGTAGTTTCTGTGGTAAAGGCATAGGCATAGGCATACTCATAGGTAGGGCTATAGTTATAGCCATATAGACATCGCCCCATCTGCCGCCGCTTGCCACATTCATCATTCTACGGCTGAGCGAGACAAGTGCGTGCCCAGTTCATTACGATGATGATGCTGCACTGATAAAAACCACATTGACAAACGATTTGAGATTAGGTTAAGAGTTTTATTTTTACCCTTTTTAATATAACATATACATAAAGTTCCTAAAATAAACCAAACTTGAAAGGATTCAAATTATACTGATAGTACTGATAGTTCCATGTTTTAATTTAAAAGCCTAAAATAGAGCTGTTTTCGTAGAAAAAAATAGAAACAAATCTGAATGAAAATCATGTTTAAGAAATTTACTTTAAAATTTAAAAGAAAAATTTATACATAAATTTATCTAACATAAGAATTTAGCCTGGTAGTAATTTTACAAAAGAGGTTCAAACTTGCGGTTAACTGAAGCGTGAAAAGAGATTTTTCTCAGTGTATTTTAGTCTAAGATGGGGGCGAAAAGTGGCGAGGACGAAGATGATGGCGAGGAAGATGCTGCGGCAGTCTGGTGGTGATGCCTTGGCAACTACTTTGCACTTTGCCAGATACTTAACTCGCAGCTATTTACAAGTCATGCTTGCTGCGAATTCGCTTGACTGTGCACCAGGATCCCTCATCTTGCAGCCTCAACCCCCCTCCCCCTCCCCCTTTTTGGGCAGATGAAATCTGTGCATCTTGCACCTATTTATATTCGCATTTATAAATAAAATGCGATGCGAACGAGTTGTTGCCGTTGTAATAAATATTCCTGCACACAGTGCGACAAACGAAACGAGCCAAAAGGGGCGGGGAGGGGAGGGGGTGAATCTGATGGGTACATATATTTATATTTAGCCAATTTTCAACGCTTGTTGACAAAACTGTCAACAAAATGCAATGCAAAGCGTAATAAAATTGTACAAGATGTTTCGATGAGCAGAAAGAAGGAAGAAGGGAAAAGGGTGCACAGAAGTTGGGGGAAGATAGACAGATAAACAAAGTTGCAGTGTGTGACAGAAGCGAAGCGAGCAATTGTCACATTACGTATACGCCGCGGGAGCAGACACTGCGGCACACAGAGCGACAGATACATCTGCACACGCAGATACATTTACATTTACAGATACAGATACAGCGACTCAGACAGCACGAGCCAAGAACATATGTTCGAGGAGATGTTAGCACGGCAAACGAATGAAAATGTCAGCTTAACATGGAGACAGCACCGAGTTGATGAGCAGAAATTCCCATTTCACGATACAGATTCTGGGAAGTCTAAATAATTTATAAAGGATTTTAAATGAAAAGTTTCCATACAAGGAATTCGGTAACTTCTGTTTAACTGAGAAACACAACTTTTGTCGGAAAAGTGTTTTTATCCAAATGTAAAATTCGAATTTGAAATACTCGTACCTAAATTTATGATTTATTAATTATGTTTTTTTGAATAAAGGAACTTCTTAAATAATGCTTCTTTATTTATTACTGTATAATTGCTGAATTGCTAAATAAAAATACCAGGTTTTCCATAAGCCTTATCTCCATGACCTAATTCCACTTCAGTTTTCATCCCTCCCATATATTTTGTTTGGCAACCAATGATCGCTCATCGGCTTATATCACTCAACAAAAATCTGCATATATGCACGGTGAACTCTTATTAGCTCCAATCGATCACCTGATGAGATACTCAGGCAAACATTCCCCATCCCGCACCATTCGATTTTAACCCAATTTTTTTCCGTTTGCCCCAAAACCCCTGAAAGATCGCGCAGCGGATACATTATAAACAATTATTTATTATTCAAAGCTCTGGCAACCACTTGACACATTAGACCAAGATGATCAGTCACCTTGGCAGAAGGCCCCCCTCCCCCCTCCCGATATTCCGATCATCGGCCCCCCCAAAAAGATCAGCACGAGGCGCTGAGAGTTGTGTTCAACCGAAAAAAGTTCAACTTGGCTAATAAATTTTGTGTGTATGTTGCTTTTTGTTGCTGGCCCGCTCTTGGCCATAAATAAAATCTACAAATATTTGACTGAGGCGGCGATGGTCGAGAGCGAGCTCATAAATCTGTAAATAAATTAAATAAATTCTTGAAAAATATCAAAACGTATCAATAAAAATGCTCAACAAGTTTTCGACTGCCGCTGCTGCTGTCGCAAGAGGAAAACTAAAATTTACATTTGAATACACTCAAGAAAAATTCAGAAAATTGTTTCCCATATATATAGTCATTATTATTACCTCTGATTATAAATAAGGATACATTTTTGGAAAAGGTCCATTAAATAAAATGGTACAATAGTACAATCATATCTATTATTTAGAACATTATCATTTAGTAAAAAATAATTAATAATAATTGTATCTACAAATATTTAAAACTAAATAACAGAGTACCATGTCAATTAACCTAGTAATTATGTGATTATTATAAAAAGAAAGTGCTTATAAAATGAGCTTCAACATTTTTAAGTTCCCATTAATTTCTGCTAAGTAAAGAAGAACCTCCAATACATTTATTTTATTATATCCTAGCTATACAAGTAAGTGAGCAAAAAGGGTGATATTTTTTTCTGTGTACGGCAGCGCAGTAGACGTCGGCAGAGGCGGGGGCAGTGGCGTCGGCAGCGGCGTTGCGTCGCTAATTTGGCGTGTTAATTGCGAGCGACGAGCCGAGGCCGCTGTCGAACCGAACCGAACTGAGCCGAAGCGTGGTCATCCGAAGATCGTATCGCCCTCTCTCTCTAGCGGGCTCTACCGGTCTCATTCTCGCGACCCCCACCATAATGTGGGGTCCCATAAATTTGATGTGTTTTGTAGCAGAACGAAACGTTTAAGCCGCAAAATGACAAACAACGAATTAACAAATTAATAAATAATTTTTTTTCCTTAGCTAAATATTTAAAAGGACGGGGCGTTGTCGTTGTTCCGAGATACAGTATCTGAATCTATGGATCTATAACTAATGTGGCGCATAAATTTTCGACACTTGCCACACGACCACGCCCCCTGAACGGCGGCAGCTGCCCACCTTTTTTTGTGGCCGTTGCTGCATATTAATTAAAAACTGAATAAAAGTGTTGGCGGTTAGGTGGCTTTTAATTGCCGAGTAGGGGGCGTGACCAAACAATGATCGCAACAAGTTGTTGACAGGTACCCCTCTTGTATATTTTTTTTGCCTGCCACATCAAATCGATTTGCAGCGCCTGATGGCTTAAATTAGCCAAGGCAAGGCAGCCGCATTTAACCAGAAGAAGCCATCAAAATACTTTGTCGTGGATAACTTCTCAGTGGGGAATACTCGAAAATTCCACAGCGTGAAGGATTGATCGATTTGACGGATTTTGTTGCAGTAAATTTTCGGATTACTGTGCTCGAAGGAGCCGTAGAAAAAGATTATGTTCAAGCAATTTCATGGCCTCCTTATGGTAAGCCCAATAAAAGTCAGGTTTTGATTTATTTACCATTCGAAGCTCTCTTAAATGTGTTATATTGAAATGGGATACCCAAAATGACTGCATCAATTTGGGCATTTAACATTTATAGTTCTATTTATCTTGTTTATCTTTTTTAAATTTGGTTCAGACATTTAGTGTTGCTTTAATTCGAGATATGTGTGTTATTTTGAATATTCCGACCAGGAACCACTTACTTAAACATATTTGATTTCCAATTAATTGATGGTTTTGCTGGTCATTATTGTTGCGAAATTTATTTGCTTTCCATAGTTATCAATAAAATTCATAATTAATCTTATCTAGATTAGAGATTGATACATTTTAATTGGTAAATATTAATTTTAGATAAAATAAAATTAATTCAATCACATCATCAATTATTTGTGTGCTATTTATGGGCATATCTTGCCCTAATTTCTCAGAGATTTAAATGTTTATTTTTATTTTGTAATAGTTAGGTTTTAAGATAGTCTAAAGCACTTTCAGGAATGTGACTTACGGTATTTAGTTAATCGTTTTACTCATCTTTTACTACTCAATTTAAAATTAGCTTTTTGTTTTGGCAATTAAAATAGTTAAAATAGCTGCAAACACCTCCGAGAATTTGTTCAACAAATTTCCCTCTGACTTTACCACTTGACCAATTTATTTTGGAAATTCCCTTATTTGTTTACCCACGTATAAAATGCGTTTCACGTTTGAATTATTTATAATTTCCTCAACAAATTATGAAAGTATCAAGAAAAAAAATAACATTTAAAATCTAATGAAAAAATGCTCTCTTCCACTTGCTATTTGGCAAATAGTTTATGTTTCCATATTTGCATTGTTCTTGTTGATTTTTCGCTCGTCAGCAAAAAGTACACCGTATAGAATTCTATATGTACTTAGCTGTGTATTGAATTTTATGTGGATATGGCATATGTACTATTTATATTTATATGTGCGTTGCATGCAACACTTTAGCACTGGCAGAGGGAAAAAGTAGTTCATTGAATGTTTTCAACTTGATTTTTATTTGGTGGCCGCTTAAATGATTTATACACAAACACAGAACCCGAACCGAAACACCAGCGGAATGGGATATACGAGTTTATATGTATATACAAATATATATGTTATTCGGGGTGTGCATATAGATGGTCGTTCAATTGGCGCAAGATACAGATATAACCGATGTACAATATATTGATTGCACATATATACACAATAGCCCAAACTACACACACTATTTATATATATATATATATATATATATATATGTTTTGGGTGTACAATGAACATCTATATGCTCGTATATCTGGCATATCTGTGCACTCTTGTATCGGGCCACATTTTGCGGCTAATAATAACTTTAAAAACGAACTATTTTGTTGCCTTTAGAGATTGCCCGTGGTTGTTGTTGTTTGCTCTGTGGCTTTTAATATGATTATTGCATTTCGAGTGTATAGTTGTTGCTGCTGTATTGCGCCGTGTGCTTTGATATTTTATTGAAAAGCGGCAGCCAAAAAAAAACACACTGTTTGTATTAAATTTTATGCACAGCTATTTTGCAAACATTACCCAGCCTGTCTATACACACATTTAGATTATATATAGTGTATTCTCGCATATAGATTTGCAATTTTCATATTCATATTTTCGATTTTCCAATGATTGTTTTTGGCAAATATTGAAGGCAATTGAAAATTGACCGAAAGCAGGTACAGCCAGCAAACAATTGAAAAGGGTAGGAGAATACCATACGGTAGACCAAATTGAAAAGGGGAAAGGAGAAAGGCTAGGAAATACGAAATAATGCTTTGTAAGTGGGTTTTTGGCACCCAGGGCGTATGAGCGATATTATGGGAAATTGAATAGAGAATGTTTGATAACATCAAATTATCGAGTCAATCAGGTTTTGTGTTCAGTCATGTTGTATTATTATTTGTTTATTGAATTCACAAATAAATCATTTATGAAAATGCTTTGGAAAGCTTTAAAGAATCAAGGAAAGATTAACCCTTTTCAAATAGTTATTTAATTTAAGTATTTATTGGATTGAATGTGTAACTTAGCAAATATTTGTATTGCAATTACATTTGTATTTATTGGATAACTGTAAATAAATTAGCGACTTAATAAAAAAGGACAATAGAAAATGTAGCTCTGATGGTAGAAATACAATATAAATTAAAAATATAATCTTTTGTTCCGATTATTATAGCTTGTAATTAAAAAGATTTGTTTATTTAATTTACAAATGTTTAAAAGATTGTTTATATTACGAACAAAATTCCAATATTTTTAAAGAAAATCGTTCAAAATTGTTTAAAAAATAAATAAAATACATTTGAAATTATTTGTCTATCAAGTCCACATTTAAATTAAAAATTTGTTTTTATATAATTTAAATATATATTTGGATGTCGCTAGTCTTATGGAAATACATTATTCCATTTACCCCGAAATTCATCTTATTTTTACATTTTTCGCTAATTTTTCATATTTATCTCAATATTAATTTGGCATTTCTAATTTTTATTTCTTGCCCAATTTTCGGTTTTTTTTTCCCCGAATGCAAATTTGAAATATTCCAAGCGTCGACGCACCGTCCACTGCCCCGCCCCCATTCGATCCACCCCTTTCGCCGCCCCTTCGTCACTTTGCGTACCGACCAAATAAATTTGCGACTCAATTGTGTGCGGTGTTTTTGCCGCTGTTGCATGTGCTTGGGCTGTCTGCCCCAACCATCAGCATGTGGGCCGCCTTCGTTTTATGTGCATTTAATTTACAGCCACCCCCTCTCCAACCCGCCCCTTCATTTTCCATCCCCCCAATTGCCAACCCCCCCGGCTTGTGTATATTTTTCTTAAAAATAAGTTTTTAATTGCAATCCGTCGAGCGAAAGCAGCCGCAGATTATTCGCCAAATAATTTGGCTAGCCGAGTGCAACAACACAAGAGGGTGCATTTCCCTACACTGAGAAAAATAATGTAGACCAAAATATTGAGTTTTAGAAGCAGAAAAATTATTAAAAAAATGATGGTAATAAAAAGAAATGAAGAATTGGATATACATTTTATTGGTACGGAAGGTAAATATAAACTAATTTTAAGTTAAAAATTAAAAAAAAGTTAAAAAAAACAAATAAAAACCGTCCGAAAATTTCCTAAGGTTATATAAATATTTGCTATATTATTTATATATAGGTTAAGGGTTATATATATATTAAACATCCAAAACCAATTATAAATCCAACAAAATTTTTCGATAATTGTTAAAAAAGGAACTCTAATATTTTCTTTCTCTGCATTAACCTCTCATTCTCTAATTTTCTATTTCTCTTTCGCTCTGTGGCTGTCGTCTGCTTGTTGGCTAAATAAATTATTGAAATGAGCAAAAGCGATGAAATTGAACAGGTTGGGAATAGAATGCGGAGATTGAACACAAGTTGGGGAGCAGGTTTTCGCCGGGGGGTGGGGATGGGGTTGGGGTGTATATCTCTGTTTATTTGTTCAATTGCCAAATGCAGAAGATGCACCAGGAGATAGCAGGAGAATGCCAACCAGACGGCGAAGGCATGAGATCTCATAATTTGTGCTTTTGCGATTTTCAATTAAGCAGAAGCTGAAGAAAGGGGCATCGGGATCGGGATCGGGATCGGGATATGCCGCGGGGCAAATGGAGGGGTGACATATGCCCCACAAATATGCCACATGCCACATGGCAGCCGCCAATGCACTTTATTGAAATTTATTAATAGCTCGAAACCGCGCACCACCCACACAACTTGAAAAGGCGCGGGGAAGCCCACCAATAACTGGATGAAGATTCCTCAGCTTCTTCCTTTCAAGATTCCAGATCCGAGATCTCTGGCACTGAGGAAGACAGAGAAGTGCAGACATAATTTACAATTATTTCAAGGACACTTTACATAAGAAACAAGTTTTAGTTGGACACTGATTTTCTACTTAGAGATGGGCTATACATATACGATGAAAATCTGGTTCTTACTTTTATGATTTATAAAATACTATTTTTATTTGAATTTTAAATAAATATTTAGCAAATATATTTATGACGTGAGCTTCGCACATTTAATTAATTAATACATGAAACATTTTTTAAATATTTCTATTAATAATCTTCTAGTAATCTTAACATATCAGAACGAATAAATTAGTCTTAAGTGGCTTATTTTTGTATTTCAGATATTGAATCAGATATCAGATTTAATTTATTCTATTTCGATTTCATTACTAATATGTGTCTGTATCTATTAATATATATTTTAAAACAATTTAAATAAAAATGTCCCCAAATTCCTTTAATTAATTTTAAAAATACCCAAACAAAGGGTAAACCAATTAATTGTTCTCTTTGACCTTTTCATATATTTCTCTCGACCTTTTCATATATAAAAATTTTCCTTATCCCATCTCTAGATGGATCTGCTCATCTTATATCTCAGCTTCTGCCTCTTCTGCCATTGACTTTGCTATGCGTAAATGAGTTAAAGGTATGAATGTCAGAGCAATCTCGATCTCAATCCTACTCGAGCGTCGCTTCACTCACATGATTTAGCTGCAGTTGGTGCTGCCGCTTTGGTTGTTGTTGTCTCAGTGTGTGCATTAAGTGAAAAATTGCAATTTTAACGCCCGCGTTAATTTACAGACAGTTGCCTCCCCTTGGCCAACTCCCCTCGCCCCCTCTCCCCCGAGATTCTATCCGCCTCTGTCCTGGATGGATGGCTTTAGCTTTGGCTTTGACTCGGGCTCTTTGGAACACTCGCCATCATACGACTTTGCATCACTTGCATTTTACACAAAAGAAAATATTATTACAAATAAATGTAAAGCCTAATTCCTCTTTATTAAGCCTAAAATGATAAACTGGACTGCTAAACGCTATACTACTATTAATTTAATTTTATTCATGAGCTCTGATAAAAAAGTTAAATTATAAGGTAGTAAACTAGCGGCTTTAAC